GGCACAGGAAGCTGATAGATCTTGTCAGGCCAGGAAGAGCAGAGCCACTGGAGGCTTCTAGCAGTGGGACAACCTGAGTGTCAAAAGAACAACTGCACGGTGGCATTGGTGCAATGGTTAACCACTGGGGACACCTGCATGCTACAGTGCCTGCTTCAAGTCCAGGCTACTTTGCTTCCTGTTTAACTTCTTGCTAATGTGTGCCACAGGAAGCAGCAGGTGATAGCTCAGATACTTGAGACCCAGGTGGAGTTTCAGGCTCCTTGTTGAGGCTTGTTTGTGGCAGGTATTTGGGAAGAGACCTCTATCTCCTTATCTTGTGGGGAAAAAAAATGACAATGAAATTATTTAAGTAATAAAACTCTTAAAGGTGGCTATAATAAATGCTGGTACAATGGCTCAACTAGCTAATCCTCTGCCTGCAAGCACCAGCATCCTATATGGGTATTGGTTTGTGTCCTGGCTGCTCCACTTCCCATCCCTGCTCCCTGCTTACAGTCTGAGAAAGCAACAGAGGACGGCCTAAAGCCTTGGTCCCTGCTACCGTGTGGGAGACTTGGAAGAAACTCCGGGTTCCTGGCTTCAGCTCAGCTCTGGCAGCTGGGACTATCTGGGGAGTGATCCAGAGGATGGAAGATCTTTCTGTCTCTTTTCTCTTTAAGTCTGCCTTTCCAATAAAAATACTTAAAAAAAAAAGTTGCTGCAATGAATTAAAACTTATTGAGTACATTTAAATGTTTATGCTCATACTAGTTTTTAAAAAATGCTGACTTTATCCTACTTTAAGGCTAATTTTCCCATACAGTTACACATAGGTTGGAATTAACTTCATATGGACTAGACCAGCAGCTCCATGTCCTAGGACACCCCACACTAGATTATGTCTCATTAAGTAAGACACACTTATTGGTACAAAGTATGCCACATCTCCACCATCCTGCTTTGGGGAAAATTTTTTTTATTAAAAACATTTTTATTATTATTTTATGATACAGTTTCATAGGCTCTGGGATTGGTGAAACATTTTCAAATAAGGAATTAACTTTTTTTAATTGAAAGACACATATACAAAGAGGAGGACAGAGAGGAAGATCTTTTGTCCACTGAATGACTCACCAAGTGCCAGGAGTCAGGAGTCCTCTGGGTTTCCCACACGGGTACAGGAACAGAAGACTTCGGGTCGTCCTCAATCACCTACCCAGGCCACAAGCAGGGAGCTGGATGGGAAGCAGGGCTGCCAGGATTAGAACTGGTGCCCATGGGATTCCAGTATGTGCAAAGTGAGGACTTTAGCCATTAGGCTACCATGCTGGGCCCCAGGAATTAAAATTTTAATGTAGGAGGATTATAAGTATTTTGCTAAATATTTATTCTATTTATATTTGTGACTAATTTGCTTCTGTTGAAACAGCAACTTGCAGTGGCATTATGGTGCAGTAGATAAAGCTGTCATCTTGGACACTGGCATCCTATAGAACTGGTTTGAGTCCCAGACGCTCCATTTCCCATCCAATTGAGAATGTGCTTGGGAAAGCAGCACGAGACAGCCCACATACTTGGCCTCTGCCACCCATGTGAGAAATGTGGACTGAGTTCCAGGCTCCTTGTGCCAGGCCTGGGCATTGTAGCCATTTAATGAATCAGCCATCAGAGGGAAGCTTGCTTGCTTTTGTCCACCTCTAACTCTCTGAAGTAAATAATTTTTAAAAATAAAAAACAGTAACTCTAACACAAGAGTGCTTCTTAATAGTTCTGTCTGTAGGAGATAAATTAAAAGTCCTGAGCTTAATTTACATTTAAAAATAAATTACTTCTGTGGAAAAATAATTAAATCCTAGGCTCTAAAGAGCTGCAAAATACTAGTTATTGAGCGGAAATTATTTGGGCATTAGCTATGGGGAGAAAAACAAGCTCCTGCAGTGGGCATCTGTAACTTATTGTGCATGACCCTGAACATGGGTGGCAGGTAACCCTACACTAAACTTGGGAATTACCTAGATAAAATTATTTCTTTAAAGTCATAGTTACAGAGGAGGAGACAGGGATGTCTCCATTTGCTGGATCGCTCCCCAGCTGGCTGCAAGGGCCAGAACTGAGCAAGGCTGAGCCAGAAGCTTCATCTGAGTCTCTCCTGTGGGTGCAGGGTTGCAAGGCTTTGGACCATCCTCTACTGCTTTCCCAGGTCACAAGCAGGAAGCTGGACGGAAAGTGGCACAGCCAGGACATGAATCAGTACCCTTGTGAGATGCCAAAGCTGAAGGCTGATAGTTTTATCAATTATCCCATCATGTTGACCCCAACATATACCCTTTTTCAAGGAACTGGTCACACATTTCTAACATTGAAAACATCTGCTTTACTTGTTACAATGTTACCATATGTGTCTCTTCTGCATAGTTCAAAAAGCAATCCTATGACAAAAGTGAATGCTGAGATTAAGGGATCTCCAAAAGACAAAATTTCCAGGATACTCAGTCAACTAATTTTCACTTAGAGCCACAGTCATTTTTAGCTTAAGTCTATGGACATTTCTATTCCTCATATCATTATTACCTTAATTTAGCATTTGCCAAAGCCTTTTTAAGATTATTTTTATTTCGAATGCAGATTTACAAAGGACTGAGAGAAGAGTTCCATCTACTGTTTCACTCTCCAAATGGCTGCTATGGCCAGACCTGAGATGTTCAAAGCTGGGAACCAGGAGCTACTTCCATGCCTCCCACGCAGGTGCAGGGGTCCAAGGTCCCCCGCTGTTCTCTACTGCTTTCCTAGTAATCAATAGGGAGCTAGAATGGAACTGGAACAGCCTGGTCCTAAGGTTATAGGCAGAGAATTAACTTGCTATGCTACTGCAGCTGCTGTGCTAAAGACCTTTCTTAATGTAACATAACAGTGAGAGGCCTCTCAAAGCTAAAAATGGTATATGCCCTTGTTACCTAACCACTCTACACCTGCTTCCTTGACTGTCAAGATATTCACAGGACTGTTGGCGATGGTTAAACTTATGAAGCAGTGCTAATCATATTGTAAAGCTTCAAGAGTTTGAGCTACAATAATCCCAGCTTTTCAAAACATTTATTTTGAAAGCCAAGAATTAACAATCAGACCTTCCATTCAGTGGTTCACTCTTCAAATGGCCACTAGGGGCAGTACCGGGCCAGGCTGAAGGGCCCAGAGCTTCTTCTAGGTCTCAGGTGTGCAGCAGGTACTCAAGCTCCTGGGGCATCTTCCTCTGCTTGCCCAGGCAATTAGCAGAGATCTGGTTCAGAAATGCAGCAGCCAGAACTCGAACTGTTGCTCATACAAGATACTGGTGGTGGCTTTTGCTATTATGACACCATGCCAACCCTCAAATCACAAAGTACTCTACCCAACTAAATAGCCTAGAGTTTAAATGGAAAATCAACTTAGAGGCAAACAAAAGGATTAAATCTATTCAGGAAAACTGTCTTAACTTTTTACTGACAGCTAAATGACTTGTGAATGCACAGTAAAGATAGTAAAATCAATTCCTAATAATTATACAAATTGATCTGCATGTATGAGAACTCATTTACATTAATAATTATGATTACTACCTGATTTTTCAGACTCCTCTTTACATTTTAAATAGTGACAGATAATTGTATAACTAAATTTTATTATAGCGGAACACTTCAAAGAGTTGTGATTTTTAAATAAATTTGGCATGACTGAATAGAGGAAATCTTTTCATAAAGTACAATATACACGAATTTGGGGTATTTGTCCCAATAGTCCCATCATACAAATTATTCTGTAAAGTTGTTTCTCACTTAGATGATCTAAAATGCAAAGGAAAATGCTATTGTATTCAAAACAAATAGAAGCAATGCTGGCTCCTATATACTAAAATATAAAACACGACATGTTTTTCTGAAGCACTCTAGATACAAATATTAACTATACAGACTGAGAACTTTTAAGTTTCAATAGTGTAATTCAAGAAGGTATACAAGTAGAGCTCTACAAATATATCCCCCATAATAATCATATGCAAAATCATTTTATCACAAAGACTACCAAAATCCTCTGAAAAATGTTAACTACAAACACATTTTAAAAGAAATCTTAGTATAACAACTACAAAACAGTAAATATCAACAAAGTTATTTGGTTTAAAAAAAAAAACAAAGGTAGTGTAATGTAAAATTCAAATGCTGTAAAGTTGCTTTTGACATCGTAGTCCTGAACTTCATAACAGGTACTAAATACTCTTTCAAAAATAATAAGTCTTAGTCTATATAATTTAGCATCTTGAGCTAGAGCTCTAAAAAGAAAAAATTAAGCAGATGATAAGTAGGCATGTAGAAATAATGGTATAAAATGACTATACAAAATGTACTACTCTTCAAATGTATAATCCCTAATATAAATATCTTAAAATTATGACTGTTGTATATAGTAATCAAATTTCAGTATTTCCAGGAGGTTTTGATATTTCTGAAGTGAATTCAGTGCAGGATGCAATTTTATACACACACATACACACACACACACTCTGTCCTATCCAATAAAACGTATCTTTGAGCTCACAAGAAAATTTATGTTTTGGATATTTGAACTCTATATATAAATTTTACTTTAGCGGGATGTCAGATTTTGTAATTTGAACTGATTTTCACAGGAATTGGTCCAGGTTTAAATATAAGATAAAACAAAGAAACATGTATCAAACAGTCTAATCCATCTTTTGCAATTATGTCATCTTAATTACTTTTTACACAAATGTAAAGTGCTTTAAAATAAAAATATCTAAGAGTTTTTGAATTAGTTCAATCTTACCCTCTTCCTTTGAAAAGTATTCTGCTGCAGTGTAAACAAAATGCTATGTAAAATGTAACATCAGACACATAATTTGTGGTGTGGGCCCTTAAACTGAGACGAACGCTAGAGATTTTATTCCTTCCACATACCCAAAGTAACTACTATCAACTCACACTTTCTGTAAGCCTTGAAGAATTTTTATTAAACATAATAAGAGGTTTAATAATTTATATTAAAGACTATGTAGGTACTCTTGTTGCTATTCACCAACTGTTTTTATGATGGTAACTCCGATCTCGGGCATGTGATCGGAAATGAGAATGCCTTGCTGTCTGCGCTGTGCCTTCTGAGTTGGTGTACCCTTTGGGAGACTGACATGGGGATCTCGCTATGGAGTCAGAATGTCTTCCACGTGATCTGGATTTTGTTCCTGAGCTAGTCTGCTTTTGAGGCGAACTTGATTGTGATTTTCCTATTGACTTGGACCTTTTCTGTAAGGACTTAGACCTTGATCGTCCTCTAGAGCCAGAATTCCTTCTTGGAGTTCTCGACTGTCTTGCTGAGGTAGACCGCCTTGGTAACGATTTGGAACGAGATTTCGATTGGCTGTAAGAGAATCGCCTGTACCGCGACCTGCAAATATCCATAATTTTAGAGCATGTTATTTTTCACAGAACAACAGGTTAAAAAACACTCTCAGGAACCTAGACCTTTACGTAATAGTAGCTATGTTTTTACTAGATAGCATATAAAAGAAAAAATTCTGAGTTTATATATACTTTTACTTCAAACATGAGAGGTTTGCAATATTTGTTATACTACAATATATGACCAAAATATTTTTTAAGTGACTTTAATGTTTTTTAAACATTCTTTTTTCATTTGAAAGGCAAAGAGACAAGAGAGTGGCAGAGACTTTCTTTATCTGCTCATGTACTCCCCACTGACTGAAGGCAGAGAAACCTACAGAAGCACAGCCTGAGGATCTGTAGCATGTTCTACATCAATATACTTACATTTTCTTTTGTTCTAATTTCTTCTACTAATTATTTGTTTCTATTTTCATTAATTTTTATTGGAAAGTCAGATATACAGAGAGGAAGATTTTCTGTGCGTTGATTCACTCCCCAAGTGGCCACAATGGTTGGAGCTGAGCCAATCCAAAGCCAGGAGCCAGGAGCCAGGAGCCGCTTCCAGGTCTCCCACATGCAGGTGCAAGGTCCCAAGGCTTTGGGCCGTCCCCAACTGCTTTCCCAGGCCACAAGCAGGGAGCTGGGTGGGAAGTGGAGCAGTTGGGACATGAAATGGTGCCCATATGGGGTCCCACCGTGTGCAAGGTGAGGACTTTAGCTGCTATCTACCGCACCGGGTCCTGATTATTTGTTTCTATCTGGGATCACATTCTTCAGCCTGCAGAATTTTTAGTATTTCTTAAAGAACGAGTGCTGGCAGCGATACATCTGGAAGGTTATTTTTCTGGGAGTAGCAGAGTTTTTTTTTTTTTTCCCTTTTTCTTTGCCATTCATTTGTTTCTGAAGGGCAGAGTGACAGAGAAGAGCTCTTTCATCTACTCCAAAATGCCTGCAGCAGCCAGGTGTAGGCCAAGCTTGAAAGAAGCTGGAGCTCAAGCCAGGTCTCTAACACCAGAAGGAGAAAGGATATTGTCTTCCATTAGCAGGGAGCTAGACAGAAGGGGAGTAGCCAGGACTTGAACAAGATGTCTCAATTTTTATCTTAACCCACTTTGGAACAACATCACTATAGTTTTAAATGAAGTCTTTCTGCTGTATTTTCTGATACCAGTCAAATGTGAGTCTTACTGTGTTACCATTTGAAAAGTGATCTTTTAAAAGATTTATTTATTTTTATTGGAAAGTCAGATATACGGAGTGAAGGAGAGACAAAGATCTTCCATCTGCTGGTTCACTCCCCAAATAGCTGCAATGATCAGAGCTGATCTGATCTGAAGCCAGGATCCAGGAGCTTCACCCCGGTCTCCTATGTGGGTACAGGGTCCTAAGGCTTTGAGCCATCCTCTACTGCTTTTCCAGGCCACAAGCAGGGCCTGAAAGGTGATCTTAAAAAGAGCTAAGGCTGGGGCCCAGCACGGTAGCCTGGTAGGTAAAGTCCTTACCTTAATACTCCCAGGATCCTATATGGCACCAATTTGTATCCCAGTAGCCCCATTTCCCATCCAGCTCCATGCTTGTGGCCTGGGAAAGAAGTCGAGGATGGCCCAAAGCCTTGGGACCCTATACTAAGCATCAGAGAACCAGAGGGAGCTCCCGGCTCCTGGCGTCAGATCGGCTCAGTTCTGGCCATTACCATCACTTGGGGAGTGAATCAATGAACAAAAGATCTTCCTCTCTGTATATCTGACTTTCTAATACAAATAAATAACAAAATCTTAAAAAAAAAAAAAAGAGCTAAGGCTCTACTTCTGACCCAGTTTTCTGTTGATGTGCCTGGGAAAGCAGTGGAAGGATGGCCCAAGTCCATGGGCCCTTGCACCCACAAGGGAGACCCGGAAGAAGCTCCTGGCAACTGACTTCACATTGACACAGCTCACTCCATTGCAGCCATTTGGGTATCTCTCTAAACAGTGAATTTAACTATGGGTCTTCTCTCTCTTGTAGAGAAAAGAGAGAATGGGAAAAAGGGAGCAACAGGAAGAATTCCCATATGCCCACAATGACTAGGCTGGGCCGGCTCTGGAAGCCAGGGGTTCAATCAAGGCATCCCGGGTGTCTTGCAGGCTTATGAGCCAGATGGACTCAGGAGCCAGAGCTGGGCATGACACCTCAATACCCCAGAGTGGGCTATGCTGTCTTCACTGCTAGGCTAAATGCCTATCCTGCTCATCATGCTTTAAGTCCTAAAGACATAATTTAGTATTTGAGTACAGAAACTATGTATCCCAGTTTAAATCTCAAATGACCAATGCTGTTTCTTAGCCATTGGACAAACTCAGATCATTCTCTATAAAATACAAAGGACATTCATACTGTTACTATACTAGAGAGGAGTCAATAAAAAGATCCAAATTCAAGATATGTTATGGATTTTTAAAAAGTAGTTCTTCAGTAATCTTGGTAATGGTGTTATCATGACTTGGTTATGGTTTTTTATTTGTTTTTTGGCTTAGAAAAGGAGCGTAAAGCTCTGTTACCTTCATACCTACTTAAGTATGGGCCAAAAATCAAAGCATATGATTCACATCAAAGGAACTCATCTGATATATAAGATTTCAGGGCTTTGACAAGGCCATATTTTCTGGCAATGAGTTTTACATATTAAAAATTCACAAAACGGGCCAGTGCAACCGTTCAACTGGCTAATCCTCCACCTGCAAGCATCAGCTTCCCATATGGACACCAGTTCATGTGCAGGCTGCTCCACTCCCCATCCAGCTCCCTGCTTATGGCTTAGGAAAGCAGTGGAAGATGGCCTAAAGCCTTGGGACCCTGTACCCACATGCAAGACCTGGAGAAGGTTCCTGGCTCCTGGCGTCAGATTGGCTCAGCTTTGGTCACTGTAGGCATTTGGGGAGTGAACCAGCAGATGGAAGATCTTTGTCCTTCTCGGTGTAAATCTGCCTTTTCAATAAAAATAAATGAATCTTAAAATCACAGAACAAAGATGAAGTTGTCTCATCCTTCGTTCCACTTGGTTGGAGGGATAGGAGCCATGCCAATTCACAGTCCTGTCTTTCAGAATAAACACTTCGAGCAATGACTTTCTTTTTAGCTCTTGCTAAACACATTTTTTTCTTGTCTAAGCTCTGGGAACTGAAAGCAACTGAGCGGGAACAGCCCTGGTGGTCATCCTGACCGGAAGCTCTGTGGCCTCTCTAGCTTAGCTGTGCTCCATGAGGTCAAGGAGATTGCTATGGGATGGATACTGTGAGTTTAGCAACTGTTGAATGCTTGCATCTCATATTGAAGCACCAGTTCAAGTCCCCACTACCTGACTTCTGACCTAGCTCCCTGCTAATGCTCCTGGGAAAGCAGTGGACAATATCTCATTTGAGTTCTTGCCAGCCACACAGGAGAACGAGATGGAGTTACTGGTTCTGGGTTTAGCCTGTGCCAGCATTAGCTTTTGCAACCATCTGGGGATAGAGCCAAACTACCTTTCAAATAAATAAAATTTTTTCAAAAGGTATATTTGTAACTGCTGATAATTCTGTCAGGACAGAGTTCACCTTAAAAATTCTACAAGTTGGGGCCCGGCACGATGGCACAGTGGTTAAGGTCCTCGCCTTGCACGCCCAGGATCCCATATGGGCACTGGTTCTAATCCTGGCAGCCCCACTTCCCTTCCAGCTCCCTGCTTGTGGCCTGGGAAAGCAGTTGAGGACGGCCCAAAGCTTTGGGACCTTGCACCCACGCGGGAGACCCGGAAGAGGCTCCTGGCTTCAGACCGGTGTAGCATTGGCCATTGCACTCACTTGGGGATTGAATCATAGGATGGAAGATCTTCCTCTCTGTCTCTCCTCCTCTCTGTATATCTGCCTTTCCAATTAAAAAACAAATTCTACAAGTCGGCCTGGCACAGCAGCCTAGTGGCTAAAGTCCTTCCCTTGTATGTATCAGGATCTCATATGGGCACCGGTTCTAATCCTGGCAGCCCCACTTTCTATCCAGCTCTCTGCTTGTGGCCTTGGGAAGCAGTCAAGGGTGACACAAAGCCTTGGGACTCTGTACCCGTGTGGGAGAGCCAGAGGAGGCTCTTGACTCCTGGCTTTGGATCGGCTCAGCTCCAGCCATTGCAATGACTTGGGGAGTAAATCAGCGGACAGATCTTCCTCTCTTGTCTCTTCTCCTCTCTGTATATCTGACTTTGCAACAAAAATAAATCTTCCAAAAAAACCAAAAAACCCTACATGCTGGGGCCGGAGCAGTAGTCTAATGTTCCCCTGTGGCACTGGTATCCTGCATGGGTGCTGGCTCATGTCCTGGCTATTCACTTCCAATCCAGCTCCCTGCTTATGGCTTGGGAAACCAGTGGAGGATGGTTCAAGTCCTTGGAACCCTGTATCTATGTGGGAGACCTGAAAGATGTTCCTGGCTCCTGGCTTCAGATTGGCTTAGCTCAGGCTCCAAAACAAATCTTTAAAAAAAGTCTATATGCCTAAGAAAAACATCACAGCACTACAATCCCAGATAAATACTAAACATGTTTAAGAACTCAGGTTTGTCAATACAATATCAGTTATTGCAACAGCTTTACCATGTAATTAATTTCCACTGTGATTTAATGTATTTTTAGTAGAAAAATTGGCTAGCAAAATAGAAATGTTGGAAATATTCTTTCCTACCAAGATTTACTATTATTTACATCTTGTTCCTCCAAAACTTTGAATTTTTTCTTGATAGTAACTCACTATTTATAATTAAACTGGCTTATACTAATGTTAGTTAACTTTCTCAAGTGACTATTTCTTTTAAGTTTAGTCATTTTCAGAACTCAAGATTTTGAATTGGTGGGCTTATTCAGGAGCATTTCACTTTTTAAATATTTCTCACCTTGTTTGTATTTTTCTTCAATACATATTATCTTTCCATTTTCAAAAGTTACACATGTCATGAAATAAAAAGCACTGGGAGGCATTCCATAAACCTACATTAATCAGCATGCTATGTGGAGAAGAGCTTGTTTTTCTACCAAAGTTGACAGCTTCCATTAGCAAGGTGACTCAGCGCCTCCCCGGCCCTACTGGGGTCCCCACACTCACTCTTTGAAGCTGTCGGACCGCCTGCGGTCCCTTCCCCAGGAGGAACTTCTGCTGCGCGTTCTCCTGAGGCTGGGGCTCCGAGACCTCCTGTGCTCGCTGGGAGAACAGGGGTGTCGCTCCTTTGATTTCATCTGACCTGGAGCTGGAACAGGGACAACAAGGCTCTCAGCCACACAGCCAGCATCACTTCTCACGGAGTTTGACATGAAAAGGTCTGTCACTATGGAAATTCATTCTTCTGAATAAGCAAGATCTAATGTTTAGTCACACTTACTTTTGCGATCACCTTGTGCAAACTGTATTTCAATTTGCCGGCCACATACCCACTTTCTATTGAGGTTATAAAGAGCATCTTCAGCATCTCGAACGTCTTCAAATATGACTAGCCGTTAAGGACACTTTGAACATCGGGATTCAAGTAAAAATATTTGAAAAATATTCTTGATATGTGAAATGGAATACATAGGAAAAACAAGTTTAAGTTATTAAGCTCACACCTCCCATATAATATGAATAATAAAAAAACCTGTCACTTTCTATTATAAAAACAAATTCCCCATTTATGACTTAGAAAAGTGAATCTGAAAATTAAAACAGAAACAAATAGGTAACTGTGCTTTTAATGTTTACATCTGACTGCAGTATACATGTATAATTTAAAACATGTTGTAAGAATAAAGTCAGTCCAAAATAAGCATTATAAAAATGCCCAGGACTCACTCCCTTCTTTTATTTTTTTTATTTTTTTTATTTTTTTTTATTGTTGCTTACACTGTATTACTCCCTTCTTTTAGATAAAGGATCCATCAGGCTTTTCACTGAAAATATCAGGGTGTAGATCCTTTATTCTGAAATTAAAATTACTCTTCCATTAAAAGGCTTTTAAATTATGACATTTACGAGAAATTACTTCGTATAAACAGAACTGCACACATGCAAATGAATTAAAACAGAAACTCATTTAGTCCTTTAAAAATGGTATTCACCGATAAACAGCACTATAAACATTACTTTATGTTTTAAGTACGAGATCTAAATATTAAAAAAGAGAAGCAATCTACAAACATTTGAAGTTACATAGCCTAGTTTGTAACACCCCTACTAAGCTAAACTCCCTTATCCTTACAATTACATAATATTAAACCTAACTGTTATGGATACTAGCTATATAAAATAACTGAATACAAAATAACTGAGTAGCTGTATTTCAGGAAGTTGTCCACTGGTTTATTTTTAAAAATAGCAAACAGAAAAAGCTCAAGAAATGCAATACAAAATGAGACTTTGGCAATTACCTCAATTTCACTTGATCTTGAACCTTGACCTTTACTCTTTATGGCTTGCAAGATGGACTTTATAAGAGACGCAGAAACAACAAAATCAGACTTGGCTTTGACTCTGGAACTCTGAGTAAATGGAGGAAAGCCGAAGTCTCAGCCTTGTCTTTTGCTTGGTAAAGACTTCCCCTCTTCAGGTCTGCATATCTGCGTCCACCCTCCCTCTGTACTCCTCGAGGCTTGAACTTTAGGTGCCTTTTGTCTTGCCTGCTCGGTTTATGCTTGGATTCTAGCTAACAGGTTGGTTCAAACTGGGGGGCGCTTGCCAGCTACTGTGCTTTAGATTTTCTGAGATAAAGAAATAAACACATTTAATTAGGCAATATCAATTTAGTAACACATGCTCCTGAATACATATAGGTACATGTATGCATTATATCCACATGCACACAGTGAAATAAAGGATATTGAACATAAGCAAATCCTCGTGGGCGGCGAGTGTAGAAGTCAAGTGGAATGTAAACGTCTACTATAGGGCCATACCGACCAAACTCACGGCGCAAGTCCTCAGGCCTGAAGCATTTTAGAAATAAGGCAAAGAAATATGAATAACTGGATTAAAATATTTTGCCTGCAGAAATTCAGTTGAAACCCTCAAAACTAACATCTAGACCAGCATTATCTAAAACTGCCCTGTAAGAAACACCTGAGATTTTGAAAGGAGCCTGGAGCTCCATCTGGGTCTCCCCCAAGGGTAGCAGAGGCCCAAGCAGTTGGGTCATCTTCCACCATTAGTAAGGAGATGGATTGGAAGCAGAGCAGCTAGAACTTAATACTTGTACCCCATATGGAATGCCAGCATTGCAGTTGGTACTATGCCAGTTTTAGGGAAAAAAATTTAAGATAGATTTATTTGACAGAGAGAAGGCAACACAGAAAAAGGTCCTCCATTCTCAGGTCCATTCCCAAGTGGTCTCAATGGGAAAGGTGGGACCAAGAGCTCCACTGCAGTCTCCAGAGTAGGCACAGGGGGCCCAAACACTCGGGCCTGCTTTTCCCAGGCCACCAGCAACACACTGGATCAGAAGCAGAACAGCTGGGACATGAATTGGCACGCATATGAGATGCTGCTACTAAGGCCATGGCTTTATGTCTATGCCACAGTGCTGGCCCTGTAAAATAATTTTTAAAAGTATAAATAAGCTCTGGTATTATGACTCAGCAGGTTAAGAGGGGCCAACAATGAGAGCACCCCATATTTGTACCAATTTGAGTCCTGCTGCTTCATTCCCAATCCAGCTCCCTGTTACTGTGACTGAAGAAAACAGTGGAAGACAGACTGAGTGCATGGGTCCTACTGCCCATGTGGGAGATCCAGACGGAATACAAGGCTCTTGGCTTCAGTCTGGCCCAGCCCTGGCTGCTGTGGTCACTTGGACAGTGAACCAGTGAAATGGAAGATTTCTATCTCCTCTCTGTCAGTCTTTCAAATAACTAAGCAAATCTCCGAAAAATCATGTAAAATTATTCACATTCATTTTATTTGAAAAGCAGGGAGATGGAGGCAGGCAGGCAGACAGAGATCTTCCCTTTATTAATTCACTGTACAAATGCCTGCAGCAGCTGGGCTGGGTCAGGCCAAAGCCAGGGAACCAGATCTATCTGGGTCTCAATGTGGGAGGCAGGTGCCCAAGAATCTGAACCATCATCTGCTGGCTCTCAAGGTATGCACTAGCAGGATGCTGAACTGGAAGCAGAGCAGCCACTACTTAACCAAACACTCCAATATTGGATGCAGGTATCTGAAATAGTAACCTAACAATTTTTTTTTTAATTTTTATTTATTTATTGGAAAGTCAGATATACAGAAAGACAGAGAAGATCTTCCATCAGATGATTCACTCCCCAAGTGAGCACAACAGCCGATGCTATGCCGATCCAAAGCCAGGATCCAGGAACTTCTTCCGGGCATCCCACACGGGTGCAGGGTCCCAAAACTTTGGGCCATCCTCGACTGCTTTCCCAGGCCACAAGCAGGGAGCTGGATGGGAAGTGGAGCTGCTGGGACTAGAACCGGCACCCATATGGTATCCTGGTGCGTTCAAGGTGAGGACTTTAGCCGCTAGGCCATGCCGCTGGGCCCCTGAAGTAGTAACTTAACTGCTGTGTCAAAAGCCCAACCCAAAGGTATCTGTACTTTTTATGAGCAAAAAAAGGGTAGAAGATTTTTATAAAGATTTATTTGTATTGGAAAGGCAGATTTTTACAGAGAGCATAGGAGAGAAAGATCTTCCATTCACTGGTTCACTCCCCAAATGGCAGTAATAGCCAGAGCTGAATTGATCTGAAGCCAGAAGCCTGGAGATTCTTTCAGGTCCTCCACGTGGGTACAAGGACCCATGAACTTCGGCCATCCTTCCTTTGCTTTCCCAGGCCATAGCAGAGAGCTGAATGGAAGTGGAGCAGCCAGGTCACATGCCAACACTGGAAGGTGGAGGACTGGAGTGTTGAGTCATGGCGCCAGCCCCAAAAGGGGTAGATATTTTAAGAAATACTGGCCTGGTACATTTACTTTTAAAAGTTATTCTCATTACAAGACTTAAAAATTAACTTTCCATAAGAAAGCTATGGTTCATCTACTCCATGGAATACTACTCAGCTATTAAAAAAAAAAAACAAAATGCAGTTCTTTGTGGCCAAATGGGCCCAACTGGAAACCATAATGCTAAGGGAAATGAGCAAATCCCAAAAGGTTAGATACCACATGTTTGCCTTAATTTAAGATGAAATGATGTTAATATGAAAAACAGTACCTATAAAATGTAATATTATTATCTCAACCTCTAACAGCCTATCACACATGCAATCAGATATTGTGAAGTAACCAACGAACCAACAATCAATGTGAGTCAGACTGCTTATGATCTACATCAAAGAATTGTAAAACCTAATATACTTTTAATTGCCTATGTTATTCCGTAATGGGGTGGGAGAGCGGAGAAATCTTCCATCACCCTAGAAGGTGTGAGGAAGACGTGAAATATTAGTTACTCCTCACTAGGGCATTGAGCATTTCTCTGCACACCCCTCCTAAAACTGTTCTGCAACTAAACTGTTGACATATCTTATTGGAGTTATAAGCCAGTCTAGACTACCCAAAAAAATAGCCAGGTTCAGCAAAATTATGCTTCAATGCTATAAAAGGCTAAATATTATAATGAAAATAGACACAAGACAGCTGAACAGTAATCTATAGCTATTTTAAGATGTATAGAACCCATTGTATATAAACTAAAATTGAAATGTCAATGAAGTAGTCACAGGATGTGGTTAAGAACTTGCATTTATTTTTAACATATTGGTTACTCAATACTATGTCAATTAATTCCATAATAACTTGTTGCTGATGTCATGTTGGAGCTTTTAATTGATCAGGACGATACTCTGCTGGCTCTACCTTCAGACCAGAGAAGGTCTCCCTAAGAAGCCATTGAACTTAACTGGACAATAAGATGCTGGACTCTATACCTGGTATATGCTTGCAATGAAGGAATCTCAACTGAACTTGCACTGTGGTTATGCAGCAAGGTGGAGGAATCCACCATGGGGGGAGGGTTAGGATAGGGGTGGAGGAATCCCAGTGCCTATAAAACTGTGTCACATAATACAATATGTAATTAATGAAATTTTTAAAAAGCCCATAGATCTGCTTCATTGTAAGCTCATATTTATATTAATTTTGTTTTCAGATAGAAAAAACTAAATTCTAAATAAGTCCTAAGATTACTTTTTAGGCTTTAAAGAAATATCCCATGTATTCTCACACTGAACAGGGTTTTGGACCTCCTTTATACTTTCCACTGTGACAGACACTGAATATTATTATTGTCTTGATGGTGCTACAATTTAAATGAAAAGATAAAATATTTAGCAGTAACAGTTGGCAGTTACAGTGCTTTTATCTATTACTCAAAATTCATCTTAAGACCACTTGATCCTCACAGACCACACTGATTCCCCAACTATGAACAACACAAGCCATCAAGTGAGAGCCAACATTGCGTTTCCAGCAGTAGACAGGCCTGTGTTCTTCACTCCTGCACCACAGTACCCTAAGCAGGTGGTGGGATTCAGCACCCAGCTAAGCACTAACTGGGGTTCAGGAGAAGGAAGGGTCATCACATTTCTAGCACAGAGAGGATTGACACGTGATTGCAAACCTTCTAGTTTGGATGAACACAAGAAATGCAGAAATTTGAGGTGATGCTGGAGTATCTGCAGAAGTCCTAGAAACAACTGGAAATTGTGACTGCAAATTACCCTCTAGAGACTAAAATTCAGGGTTTAAGGCTAGAGATGGGGACTTAAGAGTCATTACATAAAGACTCAAATGAACACTGGCTAGAATTCAACGTATGCCAGGCAGTGTAGTCAACCTCATGACCTACTTCATTTCACTTAACACTAACTCTATCTGCCTTCCTTGAGATTATTAAATTTTAGATGGCAACACTGTCTTTTATCTGTTCAGCAAATATTTGTTGAGTATCAATTGCATTCCACACTCCACAGAAAACGATGGGAAAACAAGAAAAACTCAATTTCTCTTCTCAGTTTATCAATCACCCTGCATTCCAGAATCTCCCGTGAAGGTGATGTTACAGAAACAGGTGCCACAGCCTGATGCAATAGCTTTGGAGCTAATTAGTGTTTTCTATAATAAGATCCACTTATGTTTAATTTTTGAGAGCATTTATTTTATACTTTTAAAAATATTTATTTATTTATGATTTTAAAGGCATAGTTACACACAAAAAAAGAAAGCAAGCAAGCAAGCTCTCCTATCCAAAGGTCCCTCCTGAAATGGCCACATGGCTGTCACTGGGCCAAGCCTAAGTCACAAGCTTGGAACTCCATCTGGGTCTCCCAGGGTGGCAGCGGCCCAAACCCTTGAGCCATCTTCTGCTTTTCCAGGCTTATTAGCAGGGAGCAGGATTGGAAGTGGCATACCCAGGCTGTGGGGCCCAACAGTATCATAAGAGCCAAATGGACTAAGGAAAAGCAAACTGAGTTTCCCCAGAGGCATTCACAGCCCATAACAGAGCTAGGTGGCAGAGCCAGAAGCTAAACAGAAGGTCCTCCAAATGGGAATGGCTAGCAGGAAACGAATCCAGGTCATATGTTGAAAAATGCCACAGCACTCTGTGTCACAGAGGAATGGAAATCTAAAGCAGCAGATCTCTTCCTACAAGCTGGCCACTATCTCTAATTCCCCACCTGCTAGGTGTTACTTTTTTTCATTCCAGCATTTTTGGTGTGATCTATAGGTCTAAAAAGCTTGGAGAATAATAAATAATTTATGTCCCCAACATTAATTTTATTATACTGTATTTGCTGTAACTTAAACATTTTAGGGGCTGGTGCAGTGGCACAGCAAGCTAATCCTCTACCCTGTGGTGCTGGTATCCCCTACAGGCACCAGTTCGAGTGGCTGCTCCACTTCCCATCCAGCTCCTTGTATGGGGCCTGCGAAAGCAGTAGAGGATGGCTCAACACCTTGGGCCCTTCCACTC